ATTACATAGTTATATTGCTCAGTAAAATTACATACATTCATCAGTCTGCAACTCAATAAAAAAATTTTTTTTAAATATAATACATTTAACAAAAAAAGTACAAAATTTTATTTATAAAATATTTTTTTAAACATTTTTTTACCATTTTTTTTGACTAAATTACATGACTTTGAAGCTGCATTTCTTTCAACTAGTGCTGAAATTCGATGAAAAATCACTGTTTATTATAAGAAAAGTTTATCTTCAAAATCGTATAATTCGGTTTGTTAATAAAACCATTTTATTTTTTAAATATTACATTTTTTGAGAAAAAATTGTTTATCGCTACAAACTATTGAGAATGTATGTAATTTTAAGAAACAATAATCTTTGTTAAGAGCTTCAAAATAAAACTTTTTAAAAGAAGTCAAAGACCAAAAACATATTTATAAGTACAAGTTTCAAGCTTTAAAATACTTTTTTATATTTACCTAATTTTTCACTGAATTTCCGTGATCTATGAATTATAATTGTAATCTGCAATTTTGAGCGCTTTAAAAATATTTTCTATTTTTTGTTGAGTATATTACAATAATATTTTTTATATTTTCTCTATTTTTTGTCAGGGATGCACGTATATGAGAAACATGGCTGTTTTCTGTAAATTACTCTTAATTATTTATTGAAATGGAAAGTATATAAAAGTTGCATTCCAACATAAATAAATGATTTCTTTCTTCATTTTGCTTATTTTTCCTTCATCATTTGACCTATTGTAGCTATGGTTTGTTTATTTGATGCGACAATGGGCAACTATTGTGGCATAAACTACATTAAAAGATTGCAATGTAATCCTTCTAAGCTAAAATTTTTTCTCAAACTCAGGTTCTATTTCAATGGTAAACCTAAAGAAATGTTTTTGCGTATTATTTTTATTTTTTTATTTATTTTATGTATTATATAATATTTAGATAACAGTTAGATAGCAAATGAACAATGTGAATAGAATTCTAGTTTAAAGAAATACTGTTTCAAAATAAGAGGATATAAGATTTAAAGTAGAGACATTTATTGTATTTAACAGTTGAAGCAAGTTTTAAGTTTAAATTTATAATAATTTTAATATTAATTCTTGGGCATAAAATAATGTGTTATATTTTGTAGATAAAAAAGCTATTTTATATTTACATCTGTTGTCTTTATTATACATAGATAACAATCAATTTTTTTATTATACATATAAATCAATATACGTCACTTATTATTCTCTTAAAATGGCGTATGTATCTTAAAAAATAATTTTGCTGTTACGTATATTCGTTATTATTTATACATATAATCTTTACATTTTATTTTTTTCTTAATTTTGTTTCTTTGTTCCTCCTTGCCGAAAATTTAATATAACTAAAATGATCATAGTATCATGATGTAATTAATTTTGATGTAATTAATTTTACCATAGACTAGGGGTCTGCATTCTGTTCAACTCTTAACAACTGTTTACAGAATAGGTTTTTTAAAGCTACTTTCGATAGAGCCGCAGAGAATATCATTGTTTCATTCGATTAAATGACAAGGATGATATGACATCCAGGAAACATCTAAGGGAATCCGAACATTAAAATATATTTTCATTTCGTCAAATGACAATTGTAGATATTTTATCGAAATAAAACCAGACAATAATTAATTTAATTTAATAACTGTTTAATTACTCCTATGTAAAAAAATTAAAGTAATTAAGTAAGATTAAGGAAGATAAGGCTTTTAAAAATACATTACTTGAAGTTTTGATTCATATTACCTTCCCTTTCCTTTCTTTTTTACACGTTATTATTTCTTGACTTCTATAATTGTTATCCTAAATATTTGAAATGTTTTAAATTTGTAACTTGTCACTATACATTTATTATTATTATATATAATTCAATAAATTATCTGTTTGTAGTATAATATACAAGATGTCCCGCGAAACTTTTGCGCTTTTTTGCAGATAGAGACTAAACTGAAACGAAAAGTTCTGTATATTGCAATTCTCGCAATGGTTAACGGGATATTAATTATTAAAAATTGCCGAATATGGGTCTTCAATAATTTTTTACTCAAATATGATCAATTTTTCAACACAAAAATAGCAAGAGACAAAAATTGCTTATTTTCTTCTCATAAAATTCTAAGAATTTTTTCAGAATTTTTTAATATATTTCCTCAATGTTGATAAAAATAATAATTGTCAATAAAAAAATGCAGTACTAAAAAGTTGATGAAAAATTCTAAAAAAATTCTTAAAACTCTATGAGAAGAAAATAAATATAATTTTTGTCTTTTCTGTAAAATTGATAGTATTTGAATAAAAAATTATTGAAGACCAATATCCGGTAATTTTTAGTTAATTAATATCTCGTTAACTATTGCGAAAATTTCAAAGAACTTTTCGACTCAGTTCGCTCTATCTAACTCTATCTACAAAAAAAAAAGCAAAAGTTTTTGCATGATATCCTGTATATTTACACCTATATATATATCTATATATATATAGATGCATGTGTGCATTATTTTTTTTGTGTGCATTATTTATTCACAGTAATAATATTAATTTTGTTAAATTTTTGTTATATATCTGTGAAAGAAATAAAA